GGGGGGGTAGGCGATTTTAGGTCTCTTGGGACTTTTCTTGTATGAAACCTTGGTCCAGCCCTCTTCCGGCAAAGGGAGGATCCCTTTTTGAGAGGAGGACAGGGGAGGACGAGAAGAAGCGGACTGAAACCCCTTGAGGAGGTCAGTAAAAGATGAGAAGATAGGTGGGTGATGAAGCAGTGTTTGTGCGGAGGTGAAAGTTTTTTTGAAAGAAGATAGAGGAGGGAAGGCTGAGCTGGGTGGCACTATGGGCGTAGCAGCTAGTTTAGAGGAGCTATGAGCGAAACTGTGAGCGGGAGAGCAGGGGACAGAGAGGTGATAGTGATCTTACCATGACTGATGGAGACTAATTGATGCCTTGGGCCACGAACCGCTGCCTGAACATTGATGACTCCTTTTTTCCTTCCTAAGCGTCATCTCTGCACACCAACCATTTTTTTAATCTTTCGATGATTTTGTAATTATAATGAACATATTAATGAACTCTTTTCTATCGCATGAACTATGTTTTTCTCCATACTATCTACTTTTCTCATATCCGTTTTGTATCCGCATACATATCCGATCATATATCTGCATGTATATCCGTAACCGTATTCGATTTTAGCGGATATGGTTATGAATTTTCCTTACCAAGGTATATCTGTATCCGTATTCGTATCCGAGATGGGTAAGCGGATATGGATATGGTAAGCATCATATCCGAGTCGTATCCGGACCGAGTGCACCCCTACCACCAACCCATTTGATAATGAGTTTAACCTGCTAACTGCAAACCAAAACCCACATGACCTTCTTCCTTAATTGTTAGAACTCTCCCAAACCCATTTTTGACCAATTCTAACAGAAAAATTGTATAATCCTCTTAATTCTTCTTTATACATCATTCCTCTTCGTTTTCTCTTATATCAAAACTACAAATTAGTGTTTCAGTAGTCTTGAACTATGTTGCAAACCCTAACCCTAATGGTAGAAAATTTCCCCAAATGCTCGAGGGTAGTTGAGTAGTTTTACCTGTTGCATTAAGGTTAGTAAAGACTAAACCCAACCACAAAATAACAATGTTGACATAAAACTTGACAGAAGGACGAAATTGCTAAGGAAATTGAAAATTTGATAGACTAATAGGCAAATACTGAGATTTTAAGGACTTGCCTACTGAGATTTGAAGGACTTAATGGCAACGAAAGATGATTTAAGGGACTAATGTGTAACCCCTAACTTTTTTAGTCTATTAAATTGCACTGCTTGGTAAATACATACTTCAACTATTTTCAATCATATTAAAGGGGTTATAGAACAATAGAATAATAAAATTTTCACATACTATACTAGAATAAAATCCTGGAACTAACTTTTATGTTACTATGTCGCTTCCTCTTGTTATGTTGCTATGTCTTCCTCATGTTGCTAAGAATTTTGTCAATATACATGTATAACAAAAGTAGTTAGTCTAGACTCACCGTACAATACACATAGGTAATTTCTGTTGCTGAATTTAGGGGGTGTTTGGTTCAATTTCTAGAAATTATAGGAAATGTTTTCCACTTAAAATATGATTTCATTGTATTTCTTAAAAAAATTATAGGAAAAGTTTTGAGAAATCAAAAAGTACCAATTTTCTTGTTTTTTATACTTTGCTTGTTTGGTTCAAAACAAGAAAATGACTCATAACTTTATAGAAAATAACAAGCTTTGGTAGGTTTTTAATTAAATATGGTATGTGTCAGATTTCTGGTGATTTCCTCTCATTTTGAAAGAAAATTGCTTTTTGTAAAATTTGGTAGGTTTTGATATTTTATAGAAAATATTTCTGTAAATTTTTTGTTGAACCAAACACAATTTACAGAAATATCTGGAAAACTTTTAATTATAAATTTGTCATTGTCAGATGTTTTGAGAAAAATTTTCTCAAAAAGTGTGCAACCAAACAGCCCCTTAGTTTAGTGTTTTTTTAGAAAAATCATATTTAAAATAAGGTCATTTTACATAACATCTTTTATCTTCAATTTATATATAAACCACTTTTAAAGCATTTTTCATTACAGTCAACCATCCGGACTTCCTTATAAGTCGAGTTTCTTTTCTACAATTATTAGTTGTCATACCATGTATATTAGAGATATGATTCTAAATGAAGGTTAGGTGGGATCAATTACTCCAAAAAATTAACGAAAAAGTGAACCCTAGTGATTGATTGCAACAAAAAGACGTTTTACGGATGGTTTATGTATAAATTGAAAAATCAAAGGCGGTTCTATAAAATATCTCTATTTTAAAGGTCGTCTCTATTAAAAAAACCATTTCATTGACTTCACCAAAATTCTATTCTAATTTCACTTCAACAACTTACTGTTGTGCCAAAAGTAACCACCTCATCTCATTGCTCATTTTTCCTTTGGATAAAACTGGGGTTTGCCCCAAATAATAGATATTCACAAAAGCTAAACCAGGACTGATCCTAACACAGTTTTATGTTAACTGGACTAACTTTACTACATGACTGGTTGAACCAAAAGAAAACTAGTTTAGGCATACGCAAAAGCCAAGCCAGGACTGATCCTTTCACAGTTTTACCTTAATCGGGCTACTTTTGCTACATGGCAGGTTGAACCTACGGGGAAAGAAACTAGTTTCAGAGCCTATATTTGACCTAAAAATTGTAAAATCCTGACCCAATGTTTGCCAAACACAAAAAAATTCAATCGTGTTTTGTGGGTTTGCCGAACTGACTACTAAAATCACATTCACAGTTAGTCGTATGGTTGAGCTTAATCAGACTATTGAAACTTACCATCACTTATTCGTGAAGTGAATTTCACAAGAAATAAGTTTCTTCTCGCAAGAATTTATTTCTCATCGACCATGAATCCTGGTAACAAACCTCTGCATGATTGCTCATCAGCATTTTTACCCAACCAAAACAACATTCTATTGATGAACATGGTCAATATTACAGGAGCTAAGCCAAAGCTTTAAAACATCCATAACAAACACAAGACAAAGCATGCAGTAATATTGATGACAACAAACTCTCATAGTCAGCAGTACTTCAACATAAGGCTATGTACACAAGAAAACTACATAAAAGCTTGAGATAAGCAACAGTACAAGAAGATACAGAATTTTTCCCACAGAAGAACCAAACAACCTTTAGTTCTCATCCTCGTGAACATTGGTTTCAGATGTAGACGAAGATGATGATGAAGGGTTTGACAAAGAATTCCTCCCACGCCGTGACCCAGTAGATGAAAACAACCCACTCAAAGACCACGGGCTCAAATTCCTACTCCCGTTCCCTCTCTCATTACCAGACTCATTCGAGACCTTGACAGGGCAAGAACTATGAAGCTCAAGCCATGGCAATATACACTCACTATGAAACTTATGTTTACATGGCATCTCCCTTGCTTCACTCCCAATCTCAAAATCATCCAAACAAACTGAACAGTTCAAATTCTCCTCAATTTTCACCATTGGCATCGCATCAACTGCTTCTTTCTTAGCAGGGGGAGTTCCATAACGATTAGGATCGTTCTCAGCCAAATGCTGCAATAACGAATCCAACCCTGGACCGATAAAATAGTCCCCCAATGAAGCACCAGAACTCCCATCGTTCGAATCAAAGGTTCCTCGAAGAATCACTGCTTGGTTAAAAGGGTTGATCAAGATCACACTTTCCCTATCTCTTTCTCTTTCTCTCTCTCTTTCGCTCTCCGGGGTTTCATTCTCTGATCCAGCATCAGTTCGGAGACCTTGAAGAAGTTGAAGAATGGCCGAGCTATGTCTCCTCCTCCTTCGAAGGAGAACTTCCAAATTGTGATCATGGTCGGAATCAGATCCATCATCTGTCCTCAGTAATCTCAATCTCCGGCGCCTAGGCCGACCACCCATCATACCAAGCAAAATTGGGGCTAACATAGAGAGGGAGCGATCAGAGAGCTCATCATCATCATCATCATCATCATCCTCATTTGTGATTCCCCCTACTCCTGTGTCTGCTCCAACGCTACTCATTTCTTCGATAAAGCCACCATCACAATAGGGACATTTGATCTCGGCCTCCATGATAGGGTTCACTATTTGTTCACACATATGGCACCAGTATCTCTCCGACATGGCTTCACTCATATTTCACTTCAACAGCTGAAAAAGTTGCAAAGGATCTAACATAATAATTGGAGAATAGTACAACCAAATTCATAAAACAGGATTTTTAGAGTTAAACTAAGGCAGGTTGGTCCCTCAACAGAACTGAAATGTTTCCTTATATTAAAAAAGGGTTTATGCTGGTGAATCAAGGGGCGGAAAAAAAAAAAGAAAAAGAAAAAGGATACCCTGTGGTTCTTATTTCATAAGAGAAATGAAATTAATGAATTAGGCAAGCGATCTAGATAGTGACACTTTACTCCCAGAAATAAGAAAATTGTGCCTAAAAATAAAGATCATCCATAAACAAAGAAAATAAAATCCAGATAGCCAAAAAATAATACCCACACCATTAAATCTTCAACAAGGGGATTCCTTTCTTTCAACTAGGGTAAATTTCTCCAAATAGGAAAAAAGTTTTTTTTTTTAAATAAACTCAAAATTAGAGATACCATTTCGTCATCAACAAGGCACGCCATCTCTAGAGAAAGAATACCCACATGAAAACAAGAAAAAAATCGCATAACAAACTGGTACTCTTGTCAAAGAAAACAGATCTTGGCAAAAAAAAAACCTAAAAAATGGTTAAATGGATAGATCTCAGTCAGCTAAAAAAACCCATCATAAAAACAAAACCTTTATTCTTAAATCATTATATACATGAGATTTTGTACAGACCCAGTTGAGTTTCCTAGTCAAACCATCTCATACATGAGACTCTACAAAGCCCCAGTTAGATTAAGCAAAGAATAAAGCAATTAAGCATCAACCTCTCACATGAACTGCAAATTTTACTCAGTTAAATTGAGAATTCAAAGAAGAAACTAACCCTTTTTCAAGAATCTTGCTTTGAATTCAGTGGGGCTTTGGGATTTGGTGAAGAGAAGATGAGTTCTAATAAGTTTTTGCAAAGAAAGGACAACCCAACTTCCCCAGTCTTCTTTTATTTCCTTTTACTCCTATAGGACTTTCGGAAAAAGCAATGTTAATTTAATAAATTAAAATGTGGGTCCAATTCATCGTCGGACCCACAGTTCAGTCTTTCAGTAGTTGTTTTGAGTACAAACGGGAGTGCGAAGAGAAATTCTCAAGACTTAAATATGTCTTGGTTGTAATTATTATTGGGTAAATTCAAAAACCACTAAACTTCAAGAATTTTGCGCGAAGCCCCCTGTACTTTAGAGAAATTGCCCTAAACTCTGGGGAGGTTTGAAGTTTGTTTATTACAAAAAAAATTAGGGGGGGGGGGGGGGTGGGGGGAGGNTAGATTTATTTTAAGGTTTTATTGTAGGGATATTCACGTTTAATTACTTTCCAATGTTTACTAAGAAGAGAGCTTATCTTTACTACAGTCTTATTTAAGTTTGTGGGAATTTTGAAGAGTTCAATGAGGGTTTTTTGAATCTCTTAACTAAAAAGTTTGTAGACTTCTTAAATTTCAGAGGAATTTTCTGCAGATTATTCGAAAGTTAGGGTGTTTCCTGAAATTTACCCTTTATTATGTCATTTGCTTATTGCTCTTGACAGGGGAATTATATTCATACTCTCTAAATTGATAGTTCACTCCCAAAATGGGCAAGTGAAGTTGGGAGAGGGATAGAGTAGATCGCTAATTTGTAGATTGATAGTAAAGAGAAACATTGAATTTATGAGTATTTATATGTGATGATAAGATTTTGGAAGTCATGGGCTACTCTTTTTTTATGAATTTGAGGCGTTGGATGATGTGGGCGCTCGCTATCTTCGTAACACGAGCGTGGCCCACTTGGAGATTCCTTTAAAGCTATTGCTATTTTTGTTGTTCAGGGGCAGTTCAGTTTAATTGCCAAAATTTTAGAATTTATAATTTTATAGAAAATTTGGAAAATTGCTTCCAAGCCTCAAATTTTAAAAATCAGCGTGACCTAGCCCCTCCTACTTTTACCTATGTGTTGCACCCTCCAATTATTAAAAAAATTGTACCCTAGCTCCTCCAGCTCACCTCTCCTCAAGTTTCAATGTATTTTACATCAAAATCCTAACTTTACCCTCAATAGCATTCCTTCTTTCTTCTTCTCCTCCTCCACTCCCCCTCTGCCCCTTCCCTCAACTCTCTCCTCCTCTCCGATCCCGTGGCGGCGCCGGCTCCCTCTCCCGCGTCGAGATCCGCCGTTTGTTGGGGTTTTTCTAATGGCCGACGACCACATCACCGATGACTCTGCCGTCGTTCTCAGCTATGGACATCAATGACGACATCGACGACGAAGACGCATCCACGACAACGAAGCTGCCAACTCCCCAACCCACTCCAGATCCAACTCCTATAAGCACACAGCAGCCCCTTCCCCTATCCAAGCCAAGTCCGGCCAACCTCAGCCCCAACCTCGCTGATTTATCACCGCCACCACAATACACTCCGCCCAAATGCACGCCACATGTTCGACCTAATGACTGAACACCACGCCATACCCTTGCACTTCCTAATCTTTGAAATGTCACATCAGCCTTCAGCCGACTCTCCGCCTCTAACGTGGGCCGGGGTCCAAGCGGGCTGGGCTCCGGGCCGGCCCGGTTTCTTTATTAATTAAAATTTTTAATTTTTTTTTAAATTTGAAGAATACAATGACATGTTAACTTTTCTTGGTAGCTTGTTAAGTTACACAGATAACATGTTAACTTTCGTAGTTAGATTATTAAGTTACACAACTAACTTGTTAACCTTCTTTGTTAACTTGTTAAGTTACACATGTAACATGTTAACTTTCACAGTTAGATTATTAAGCTACACAGATAACATGTTAACTTTCCTTGGTAGCTTGTTAACTTACACAGATAACATAAGTATATGCCCACCTACGAAAAATGTGAACGTTGAGGATTTATATATATCAATAGTTGTGTATATTTGTCCTATTAACTATTGAAATACTTATTTATGTCATTAGCTGTGTATATGAACGTTGAGCATTTACCTGTTAACTATAATATATAGCAAGTTAACCTGATCTGGTATATACTTACGCACAGCAGAATGAGGTTAACTATAATCCATTACATGTTAATTATAGTTGATTAGTTGTTAGCTCTTACATGTAATTTGTTAACTATAATAAATATCTTGTTAACTCTTAATTCATAAGTTAACATGTTAACCATAAGTATATGTCAACCTATAAAGTAGTTCTGTAGTTGTATCACATTACACCCCAGATATGGTTAACATGTTAACTATAATTTATGTATAGATTATAGTTTGTATAGATTATAGTTAACAGGTAAATCCTCAACGTTCATATACACAGCTAATGACATAAATAAGTATTTCAATAGTTAATAGGACAAATATACACAACTATTGACATATATAAATCCTCAACGTTCACATTTTTTATAGGTGGGCATATACTTATGTTATCTGAGTAGCTTAACAAACGAACAAATAAAGTTAACATGTTATCTGTGTAACTTAACAAGTTAACAAAGAAAGTTAACAAGTTATCTGTGTAACTTAACAATCTAACTACGAAATTTAACATATTATCTATGTAACTTAACAAGCTACCAAGAAAAATTAACATGTTATCTGTATAACTTAACAAGTTAACAAAAATAGTTAACATGTTATCTGTGTAGCTTAACAATCTACCTACTATGTAACTTAACAAGCTACCAAGAAAAATTAATATGTTATCTGTATAACTTAACAAGTTAACAAAAATAGTTAACATGTTATCTGTGTAGCTTAACAATCTACCTGCGAAAGTTAACATGTTATCTGTGTAACTTAACAAGCTACCAAGAAAAGTTAACATGTTACCTGTATAACTTAACAATCTAACAGAGTAACTTAACAAGCTAACAAAAGTATTTCAATAGTTAATGCCATATATAATTATTTCAATAGTTAATAGGACAAATTTGTGCATCAATTTTATATTACATTTGCATTATAGTTCACATCCTTACAAAAGTATTTAAGTTTATATACACAGCTACTACATACATACAAAAGTATTTAGCTATTACATACACCCAAAAGTATTTCAGTTCATACATACAAAAGTGTTTCACATCCGTAACTCATATTAATCGACGATCGGTTCATTGCAAGTTGCTCGGTTATAGCGATCGGTTCGTTACAAAAGTGTTTCACATACGCCTTCACCGCTCCTGCTCTTCCCTTTGCCCCTCCTCATCCTTTCAACTATCCTACTCCAACGACTGGCCCCACCCTCTACTATTGATCGTCGGTCATTTTCGAGTTCGATATACCATTCGACATAGATCTGAAACCCAATAACCCGATAAGCCTCATCTATCGCCCTTTGACTTCATCCTCATCGCCATTTTCTCCACTAAGTTGAATAGTAGATAAAATTCAATGCTTCATACACACACACACCAAAATCCTACAACAATTGCGGCATAAACAAACTCACACACACAAACACAAACACAAACACAAACACATCCCCTCTCAATTATTTTGACGATCAACCAAATCAAACCCCAAGCCATTCCTCCTTGCCAAGCTCTCTCTATACATGTACCTCAATAACTCCACCACAATATCCAAATACCCATTCTCCGCCATAATGAATAGTGTCATCGCTCCCATCTCATTCAACTCGTTCACCATCACCGACCTGATGGTCGCCACCTCTGCGTCAAACTCTGTGGTGTAGGTGGTGCACCATTAGGGTAGGGAGGCTTCGTAACATGATGTGAGTGGTGTAACATTAGAAGTGGAGTGTCAGCTGAAGGCTAATGTGACATTTCAAAGATTGGGAGGTGCAAGCGTTGGGCATGGTGTTCAGTCATTAGGTCGAACATGTGGCGTGCATTTAGGCGGAGTGTGTTGTGGTGGCGGTGATAAATCAGCAAGGTTGGGGCTGAGGTTGGCCGGACTTGACTTGGATAGGGGAAGGGGCTGTTGTATGTTTATAGGAGTTGGATTTGGAGTGGGTTGGGGAGTTGGCGGCTTCGTTGCCGGGGAGGTATCTTCGTCGTCGATGTTGTTGTTGATGTCCGTAGCTGAGAACGACGGCGAGTCATCGGCGATGTCATCGCCGGCCATTAGAAAAACCCCAACAAGCGGCGGATCTCGACGCGGGAGTGGAGGAGGAGAAGAATAAAGAAGACAGGTTGTTGAGGGTAAAATTAGAATTTTGATGTAAAATGCATTGAAACTTGGGGAGAGGTGAGCTGGAGGGGCTGGGGTACAAATTTTTCAAAAATTGGGGGGTGCAACACATAGGTAAAAGTAGGAGGGGCTAGGTCACATTGATTTTTAAAATTTAGGGCTTGGAAGCAATTTTCCCTAGAAAATTTTAGAATTTTTAAATTTATAGAAAATTTTAAATCTATAGGATTTTATACATATTTTAACATTTTTAATATTTTATTTAGTTCAACATTATTATAGAAAAATAAACTCTAAACTTTGAATTATCTTGTTTAATTTAAACCTAAATTATAGGATAACAAATTCTTAAAAAGAAGAAGTGAACATACTTACCTTAATGAGGTTAACTGTCACAAAAATTAAAATACAATGGTATAAAAAAGGTAAGTATACTCATTTATGAGATTTTCCAAATCCTCTCCAACTAAGAGGATTTGGAAAATTCTAAAAATTAGGTGCTTTTTTTATTTTTGGGATCTAACATTTTAAAAATTTTCTTGAAACAAACACCAAATATAGAATCCCAAAATACAAAAAAACTCACTTTTTTATTCCAGAATTTGTACTTCGCATCAAATGCCAAACTTTTGTTTGAGCCAAACAATCCCTCAACAAATGTATTGTAAGTTTTGAGTTAATGACTGTAGGCGTCAAAAATTGCTTATGGGTTTTCGCACGCAGCTCGAGATGTAAAGAATACGATGAACATTATTATCAGCATCAAGAAGGATTATCTAATGTTATAAAGAAGCTAACAAATGCATGAAGTGAGTTGATAAA